TTATTTGAAAGGCAGGTTTATGGACAGAAGGTGGGGCAGAGGAAGAGAGAGAGTGAGTGAGTTCTACCATCCATTGCTTCACTCCCCAAACAGCCACAATGGCAGGAACTGAGTCAATCTGAAGCCAGGAGCCAGAAGCTTCTCTCCAGGTCGCTCATGTGGGCAAGGATCTGAGCCCTCGGCCTCTGCTTTCCCAGGTCATAAGCAGGCAGCTGGATAGGAAGCGGAGCATCCAGAACTCAAACTGGCACCCACATGGGATGCCAGTGCTGCAGGCAGCAGGTTAGCCTGTTACCACTGCATTAGCCTGTTATGCCACTGCCTCAAGCCTATGAAAACCTCATAAATAATTTCCCCACCTAAATTTTAATCCATTCTCAATATTTTGACACACATTTCCCAAGAAGACCGGACATGCACAGCCGGCATACACTGTGACTCATTGGAGACTGTCACGTGGCTATCAGCCTCCTGGCTCTCCCCTGGATTATCTCCACAACCTCCTCAGTGCAGCATTTCATGGCTTCTTGTCCTCAGGCCTGTGGCCACATCATAATACCATACACTTCGCCTTTTCTAGCTTTTCTAATGCTGAAACTTTTCACTTGGTCATCTATAGATCCACGAATACTCATGAAACTAGAGTTGAGAGAGGGAGAATGTTCTGGAAAAAAAAGGAAGACTAGTTATACTTTCATTTTTGTTAATTTTTTAAAAGATTTATTTATTTTTACTGCAAAGTCAGATTTATGGAGATGAGAAGAGATAGACAGGAAGATCTTTCATCCAATTATTCATTCCCCAAGTGAGTACAACAGCCAGTGCTGTGCCGACCCAAAGCCAGGAGCCAGGAACTTCCTCCAGGTCTCCCATGCAGACACAGGGTTCCAGGCTTTGGCTGTCCTTGACTGCTTTTCCAGGCCAAAGGCAGGGAGTTGGATGGGAAGTGGGGACGTCGGAATTAGAACTGGTGCCCGTATAGGATCCTGGTGCGTGCAAGGTGAGGACTTTAGCTGCTATGCCACTTCACTGGGCCCTTTGTTATTTTTTAACTAAATCATATTATTTTCTACTATTATGAATACAAGCAACAAACCATAGAACAAGGGTACTTTAAAAGTTTATAGGAGGGGTCTGTTGCCATGGCCTAGCGGCTAAAGTCATCGCCTTGAACGTGTCAGGATCCCATATGGCCCAGCTTCCCATCTAGCTCCCTGTTTGTGGCCTGGGAAAGCAGTCGAGGATGGCCCAAAGCCTTGGGATCCTGTACCCGCATGGGAAACCCAGAAAAGTCTTTGGGCTCCTGGCTTCTGAATGGCTCAGCTCTAGCCATTGTGGCCACTTGGGGAGTGAATCATTGGAGGGAAGATCTTCCTCTCTGCTCTGTTTCTCCTCCTCTTTGCATATCTGACATTCCAATAAAAAATTTTAAAATATCCTAAAAAAATTCAATGCGTATACTTCACATATTTAAAAAAAATTACTCTGAGAAGGGGTCTTTATGCAAGAGTTAAAGAGATTCGCAACTCTAAAAGGGCTCGGAATCTACACTCTAGTGGCTTTCCTACTTCTACCCATCCCGATCGTGTACCCATTTTTCTCCAGGCATCATGGATGACACTGTGTCCTGGGGAAATCAGGTTGAGAAAAACAGTTCATCACCCTCATTGTGGCCAAGGGTGCATTTTATAACTCTGGGAACAGAGGGACATCTAACCAGAATTAGAGGTTGAAACGGGCCTCCTGGAGATGGCAGTGTAGCCACTTTTAAAGGAAAAGTAGGATGTAGTCACGTAAAAAAAAACCAGCAATCTATCCAACAGTGGAACTTCTTCTGGAAACAACTAGGAGGTAGATATATTTGCCTCAGGTAAGGGAACTAAATAAATCCAAACACTTACAATGTCTTTGGACTTAAGAAAGAGGACAATCAGGGGCTGGTGTGTTGGCTCAAACGGCTAATTGTTCACCTCTAAGCACAATATCCAAACAAGTTCTGGCTGCTCCACTTCCCATCCAGCTCCCTGCTTATGACCAGGGAAAGCAGTAGAGGATGGCACAATGCCTTGGGACCCTGAGCCCATGTGGGAGACCTGGAGGAGGCTCCTGGCACCTGGTTTCGGATTGGTTCAACTCCAGTCATTCATTGCAGCTGTTTGGGGAGTGAACCAGTGGATGGAAGATCTTTCTCACTTTCTCTTGTTCTCTCTGTAAATATGCCTTTCCAATAAAAATAAATACATCTTTTTAAAAAAGCCTAGATTTTTCAGAGTTAAAAAGGTTCACTGTCCTCAATGAAAATCTTTCTTTATGTGCCCAATGGAAATTCATTTGTAGAAAACTCGAACTTTGAACCCAACCCTGCTGATCATATAAGAAAGCCATCTGCATGATCTAATGAAAAGGCTATTTTAATACTAGCATTCCTGTGGCTTCCTGGTTGGATAGTCCAAAGATACATTTTTAGCAACTGTTTTAGGTTGAATAACATGCATAAAATGATTTTCCAACAAAACATGTGGCTCAAAATCTCCTCACATGGGATAGCCCTGGATGGCTATGGAGCTTCTGAATGCCTCTTTATGAGCAGAAGTGAACACATCAGGAATACTTCTAATCTCGGGAACTGGTTTTCAGGTTGGGCTGGAAGGCAGCAGGGCATGCCCACTAGCTTCCTGGAGCAACATGTCCTGTGAAGTTTCTTTATTTTCTCAAGCAGACTGGGACATATTATGTTGATTCAACTTTTACCAATATTAAATTACAGCATGCTTCCTCTTTTTCATTGCAGAAACAAAACGTTGCAGTAAACTTCCCGTTTCTCTGTACCTAGTTTCACTCAGCAATTAGAGTTGCATTATTCTAGTAGAGAGCTCAAATTTAGCTGGTAGAAATGATAATCAATTAACTGCAAGATAGTTTTGCATCATTACACGAAACAATGCTGTGTTTCCTCAAGTTCTACATGTACACCTGCTGCTGTCTTAAAAAGAAAACTGTTTCCTGGAGTTGGAAAAGTTTACTGCTGTGACTGTGTGTTAATACCAATCTTGAAATGTCTGCCATCCACCATTATACCTGTGTGTTTATCCTAGAAAAGTTTCAGTAAACTTACAGCCCTGACACAGTTACCAGGAACAGACCTCTATCTGGGAATGATTACACTTGCATATGGATTTAACTTAGCACAGCAACAAGTTAGTACCTTGCTTTGACCTTTTTTCTGCGCACAACATACAAGTAGAATCCAGAACGATGAGCATTTTACAGCAGCTGGCTTCCACAGGTGGTAAGACAGGCTCTGACACAGGACGCGTCCAGTCATTCAGCAAGTGTAAATTTTGGAAGTGTGCAACTGCCAGTCTTATTATTAACTGGGAAAAGTCAGTTGTTTTATGAACTTACAACACAGAGAACTTAAATGCATTCCTGAAACAGATTCACTTATGATTTAACTGAAAAATATGTTTTCCTTGTACAACCCTCAATGAGTGGAGGCACTGGGAAGCCTGGAGAGAAGGTCCTCACGAAGCCCCAGCCTTCCCCATTCAGCAGTGAAGGCATCCTTCAGGTTTCAAAATTTCCATCTCCAGGCAATTAATGCTTAAGAAACATGATGGCCAGGCAGGCACTGTGCCACAGTGACATCTGCATCCTGCACTGGAAAGCCTGCTTGGAGTCCTGGCTACTCTGGGCTTCCAGTCCAGCTTCCTGCTAATGTGCCCGAGAGTGATGACAGCCCACATACAAGACCTGGAAGGAGTCCCTGGATCCTTTGGGTATTTGGGTGAAGAGTCAGCAAGTGGTACATTTTTTTCTCTTGTCCTTTCTTTATTATACAGGGCAGGGCAGGGCAGGGCAGGGAAATGAAAGAAAAGGAAGGGAAGGGAAGGAAAGGAAAGGTAGAAAAAGAAAGGGAAAGGAAGGAAAAGAAAAGTAAGGCAAAGAGAAGAAAGGGAGGGAATGAGTGAAGGAAAGATGGAAGGGAATGCTAAAATAAAAAGAAAAACAAAACAAAAGCCCAGAGATGACAAAGATTATCATTTTCAAACTTCTTCTCTGGATGAATTATTTTCAATATTCTGGAACAATTTTTAAGCAGATATACATTTGTTGCCTTACAATTCTTTTACTGGGCAGTTTATCTGGATTAACACTGCGGGTGAGATTAAGACAACGTGTCAGCATTCAGGAAGAGATTCCAAAGTCAGCTGGGGTTTATGTGTGCATGACAGGCCGGCCACGCGTCCTGGCTCACCCAGCCAAAGCCAATGTTCAGCGCTGACTGTGACGTTTCACATCAGTGCCGGTGCAAGAACAGCACGAGCCACATACGAAATTTGCAGTTTCTGGTAACTACACAAAAAATGTATAAAGGAATAGGTGAAATGATTTTACTAATATATTCAATGAATCTAAAATATTATTTTGATAAATAATCAATATGAAGTATCAGTGAAACATTTTACTTTCTTTACACTGAGTTTTTTTTTTTTTAAACCAAAATGTATATGTTATGATACAGCACATCTCAATTCAAACCAGTTACAAATAATCCCATGTGGCTGGCGGCTGTAGTACTCATCAGTGCCACTCCGTCCTCTGCAGGATGGCGACAAACTAACAATGCCAGGGGAGCCAGCACAATCACGCAAGCTGTAGGGTGCTTAGACTTATTATTATTTCATTTATGTCAATGTAACTCACTTATTTTATAGATACTACAGAAAATCTCAGTACCAAGGCTACAGACACTAAAATGCATGGACAAAATGGAAAACTATTGATTCCAAAAATAAATTTAACAAAAACAGGTGACAAAATATACACCACCAGGCCTTGGGCTTTACTTTAAAACATAACCTGAACCTGAAGTAGAATTCTGTCTGACTCTATGAACTGCTAAGGCATTACAGATCTAAGTCAGTTCTAACGATCTGTCTTCAGTGAATATTTCTGCCCTTCAACTTAGATATACTGTAGTCCCTAAAGTGACTTACCTTAGGCAAATTTTCCTTAATGATTTCATCGTCTCTCTTCACAACCTCCATCATTTCTTGGCCTCCAAGGTACACAGCATTAGCTATAAGAAAAGATAAACGAAGTCACTTAGTAATATTCATAAGAATCATAATTGTGAAATTAGTTTTTGGTAAATTCACATTCCCGTCTTCTTTTGGCCATATGTCATTTGATACACTGGTAAGGCCAAGCAAGGCAGGCAGCCAGGTGGCATGTACAGTCTAGAGACGGGAGTATGTCCTACAAAAGCATCTTCTCTCAACCTCACCCGAGTCTCCTGTAGCTAAGTTTTGAGGTTCAGCAACGTAATGCAGGTAACACAGCAAATGACAGCATAATGGAGTTAACCAACACACGTTATTATGGCTTAAGGATGAGAAGTTCAGATGGTTTTGGATTGAACATGTAAACCGACACAGTTACTAACATGAAATTATACAGGCAGGTGTTTTTATTTATTTATTTTTTAAAGAAAACATCTGAAACAAATGCTTACTTTGCAGGGGTAGGGGACCTTTTTTTTTTCTTGCCAAGGGCTATTTGGATATTTATAACATCATTCGTGGGCCACACAAAATTATCAACTTAAAAATTTGCCTGCTGTGGATGTATTGGATTTCTAGTAACACATCTGCAGTTGCCTTGGCAGAGCTGGATCAGATGATTTTTTGGTCTGCATTTTGGATAATTTCCCACCCCTGAAGGACAGCTAAAAGTCGTTAACATTTTTTCATTTTATTTGAAAAAGTGTGTGTGTGTGTGTGTGAGAGAGAATCTTCAATGTACTGGCTTACTCCCCAAATGTCCACAACAGTCAGGGCCAGGGCAGTCTTGAGGACAAGAACCTAGAATTTCACTCAATTTGCCCATGTGGGTTGAGGGGTTCCAAGTACCAGAGCCACATCCTCTTCCCAGGGTGCCATAGTGCGTAGCTGATTTAGAGGCAGAGGCAGAGGAGCTGGGATTCACACCAGCCATTCTGGCACAAGATGCAGGTGTCCCAAAATGGTTGCAATAGCTGGACCTGCGCTAATCTGAAGCCAGGAGCTAGGAGTTTTTCCTGGGTCTCCTGTGTAGGTTCAGGGTACCAAGGCTTTAGGCCTTCTTCTTCTGCTTTCCTAGGCCATCAGCAGGGCCTGGGATGGGAAACAAGAGTAGCCAGGACACAAACCAATGCCCATATGGGATGCTGGCATTGCAAGGCAGAGGATTAGCTGGTTGGACCATGGTGCTGGCTTTTTTTTTTTTTAAAGGTTTTTCAATATTACAAAAGAACACAGATTTTTCCATTTCTTTTGGTTTACAGATCAGAGGATACCCAGCCACTACATGTCTAATGCAAGATGGCAAAGGTACGAATGAATGATTTTAATTAGACTTTATTGCTTCTTTACTTACACTGGCATTTTGAGTCTCAAGTTTTTAGGGCATTCTTCAGGGGAAGTAGATGCCTTGTTTAGCTATATTTGCTATTTCCTAAATCAGTGTGTACAACTGACCTTCCTGTGATGATGGAGACATGCATGGGTGGGAGCAGGGGGTAGCTTTTCCAGGCTGATGCATCTGCCAGTGCACAGGAAAGCTAGGTCTCAGGATCAGCCTGGTAGGAGGTCTTTCCCACCAGACTGCTCTACCCAAATTTCACATGAACATGTGGTCCAGCCTTGGAGCACATGTGGGAAGATTGGGTCAAATCCATTGAGAACTTCCATGTAAAGATGAACAACATACCCAGATACACATGGAAGACAGGATGGCCAGCTCCTTTAATTCAACAGCAGATTTCAAGTATCTCACCATAAAGAGGAAAATGGGACAGACTGAACACAATAGGGCAATTTCTCCAGTAAGTACCTAAGCCTATGGACACACTGAGATAGGCATGGACATCTAACAGGCGTTAGAAGTAATTTCTCCACCTCTCACACAGCAAAGCCAATGGCATCTCAGAGCATTCCCAATCACTTGAGTAAACCTCTCAGGACATTCTGCCCTTTGTGCGGTTCCTAGGATGACATTGGGGAAACATCTTTGTTCCCTGGTACTGATGTGATTTGGTGGCAGGAAGAGGTGCAACATCTCATGGTCACAGGAGGGATGGTGGAGGCTTTTCCTTTACTCACCTCTCCCAACCCACTCCTGGTCCTCTCCACCCTGATCGGTAGCCCACATGGGTCTGAAATTCTATTAAAAACAATAAAAATGATTCTAAAAAATGAGCAAAGGATTACAACAGGCAATGTCTCTAAAGAAGAATATGAAATAGTTAATAAGTTAATAAAAATAAGTTAATAAGGCAATGGACAATAAGTTAATTAAAAAAGAAAACAAGAGTCATGAGGGAAAGGCAGTCAAATCAAAATGAGACCACATGTCTCATCTACCAGGATGGTTAGAGGGCCCAGCGGCTAAATCCTCAGACTTTGAACTTGCCAGGATCCCATGAGGGATGATTTGTGTCCCAGCTACTCACTTCCCATCTAGCTCCATGTTTGTGACCTGGGAAGACAGTGGAGGATGACCCAAAGCCTTAGGACTCTGCATCCGCACAGGACACCTGGAGGAAGCTCCTAGCTCCTGGTTTCAGACAGGCTGAGCTCCAGCTGTTGAGGCCTCTTGGGGAGTGAACCAGTAGATGGAATATCTTTCTGTCTCTCCTTTTCTGTAAATGTTTTCTTTAAAACAAAATCAAATAAATCTTTAAAAAAAGATGAATAATAATCAGTGTTGACAGGGATGTGGAACAACTGGAACTCTTACTTTGTTGGTGAAATAGTAAAATTGGTACAGCTCCTCAACAGGTTAACTACAGAGTTACCAGACACCCAGAATTTCTACTTATAGATGTATCCCCCTCCAAATTCAAAACATAAGTCCACACAAAACTTGTACATATGAATGTTTATGGAAATACTCTTCACAACAGTTCAAGTTTGGAAACAATCTGTATGTTCATCAATTAATGAGTGGAAATGTAAAATGTGATATAACTATATAAAGGAACAATATTCAACTCTAAAAAGTTATGAAGTGCTGGCATATTAAAACATAAACGAACCCTGAAAAACTATCCTAAGTCAAAGAAGTAAGTCACAGGGACCAGCATGATGGGTTAACTGGCTGATCATGTGTCTGTAAACAGGTATCCCATATGGGTGCCAGTTTGAGTCCTGGCTACTATGCTTCTCATCCAGCTCCCTGCTTATGGCCTGGGAAAGCAGCAGAGGACACCCTAAGGCCTTGAGACCCTGCACCTGTGTGGGAGACCTAGAAATAAACTCTTGGCTCCTGGCTTCAGATCAGCTCAGCTCTAACCAAGGTGGCCATTTGCAGAGTGAACCAGGGGATGAAAGATCTTTGTCTCTCCTCTCTATAAATCTTCATTCCCAGTAAAAATAAAGTAAATCTTTAAAAAAAAGTGAGTCATAATACAAACATTTCAAAACTTGTGATACATGGCCAAAGCAATACTTAGAGAAAGTCATACCATTAAAAACCAGTGTTAGAGAAGAAAATCAGCAGCCTCAGTTTTCATTTTAAGAAACCAGAAAGAGCAATTAACTCCAGAATAGAGCTAAAAGAAATGATAAAGGTCAGAGTGGAAATTAACAAAATCCAATAAAGAAATTGGAAATGAAACAAAAGTTAGTTTTAAAATAAGTTTTAAAAATAAGTTAGTTTTAAAAGTTAGTTTTAAAATAAGACAATGAGGGCCTGGCGCCAAGGCCTAGCAGCTCAAGTCGTTGCCTCGAACGTGCCAGGATCCCATATGGGCGCCGGTTCTAATTCTGGCAGCTCTACTTCCCATCCAGCTCCCTGCTTGTGGCCTGGCAAAGCAGTTGAGGATAGCCCAAAGCCTTGGGACCCTGCACCCATGTGGGAGACCTGGAAGAGGTTACTGTCTCCTGGCTTCGGATTGGCGCAGCACTGGCTGTTGCGCTCACTTGGGGAGTGAATCATTGGACGAAAGATCTTCCTCTCTGTCTCTCCTCCTCTCTGTATATCTGACTCTGGAGTGAAAATAGAATAAATCTTAAAAAAAAAGAAAAAGACAATGAAACTGATAAACATTTAGCTAGACTGATTAGACAAAAAAATGTAAGAAAATAGAAGACATCACAACAATGTCAAGATGGAGAGAAGTTAACGCCTGTAGACTACATAGATATTAAAAGGACAACTGGGCGACTGTGGATAACTTCATGCCAACAAGGAATCTGGATGAAACGGAAAGTCTACAAGAAGACACACCTTTTATGCTTAATAAGAAAAGACACAAGTAACCTGAAAAGCTTTATTATCTGTTACAGAAATTTAATTTATAATGGAAAGTGTTTTCACAAAGAAAACCTCAGGCCTTTGTGATTTTAGTGGTCATTTTACAAAATATTTAAAAAAGAACGGAAGAAAGAATCCTGATGCTACATAACCTCTTCCAGAAATAACACCACAGAGAGAGGGCTATTTGATCTGACAAAGGTAGCATTTTAGAACAGCGGGAAAAAGGGGGCTAGTGGTGGGCAGAATTCCAAGTTGACTTGTAAGTATTCCTCATTCCCCTTTCTTAGGAGCACAGGTGGAACCTGTGAGGATGATACAGCACTCAGGATCAGGATACGTTGTCGGGCAGAGTTAACTGCGAGGGAGGGAGTTCCTGGGAAGCCGTTCATTCCCAGCTCAGTGTTTTCTTCGGGTGGTGGCAGCAGAGCAAGGTAAAGATTTGAAGCCCTGCTGGCTTGAAGATGGAAGGGATCTGACTGTGGCCTTGAGGAGTTTTAGTGGACTTCTGGTTCAGAGCCAGCAAGAAAGTGAGGACCTTACGGTAAGGCCACAGGAACCCTCTGTTCTGACAATAGTGAGAATGAGCTCAGAAATTATTTCCTTGCTGAGCCCCCAGACAAGAACTCAGTGAAACTGCCAGTTGGAGTTCCACATGGACTTCTGACCCACAGCCTGGGAGCCAATAAATGGGTGCTATTTTAAGCTACTGAATTAGTGACTTATTAGTCAACAAGTCTTTCACCACATGATTACTGGGTCAACTGGATATTCACATGGAGA